AGTCAAATTATCTGACCCCAAAGCAAACAGTCTCATAAGAAGCAGAACCAGGAATTAAATATAGGCAATCTAATCCTCTTTCAATATAACATATATTGGTTCAACTTCTTTCTTCCAATGAAAGTTGATTTCATTATTAATCTGCTAATAGAATGTTGTCAGTTATAGTTTGAGGCATTACATTCCTAAGAACTTTTCAAGAAAAAATAATAAAAAGAAATTAGGCTAGCAAATTTCCTTTAATATCAAGTATGAAATGCATCCTCGTTTAAGAGATTTTAACATATTGTTAAAAAGTGAGCAAATATAAGAGAGGCAAGTTATTTTTATGTCTCATGTTCCTTAGTGGGAAAACATGAAGAAAACTGTGTTCTACTTACTATTTGAGAAAGATTGTTACTTTGTACATATAGAAGAGGGCAGATTTTAAAGACGGAGGAGGAAGAGAAGAAGGAACAGAAAAGTTAAGGGAAGAAAGCTTCACATTACCAGGGCTTTTCATTTTTGTATTGAACAATTGTGATAGAACTAAGCAGCATGAAAATGATATTGTACCATATATCTCAGATCAGAAACAAGCAATGATGACACTAATATCACTTGGGGCTATGTTGAGGACAAATCGGAACTGTAATAAAAAGAAAAAAAAAACCCTTGGATATACTTGTAAACTGACTAAATGAAGTGTTAGATTTCGTCTCCTTTTTCTTTTAAAGATTTTACATTTGAGCTTGTGTTTCAGCAGAGGGTCTCAGCCAGGTATCTTCTTGGTTATCAAGGAGAAACAAATTCTGTTTGTGCTCTGAGATCATTCTTGCCATAAAAATTTTCCTTGCATGCACAGTCAGACCCACCTTGATGGTGAGTGAAAGCAGCAGATGTTTCAGCCCCACCGCCTTTATATTGTCTCTATGCAGATGGATGCAGTTGTGCACGTCAGGCCCCAGGGATCACATTATCCCAAACTATTAGGTTAGTTACTGCCCTTCCAACTGCCATCACTGCCCACGTGCTTCCTGAAGAGACACCAGAGAAAGTACAGGCCATTCAAAGGGACTGGTAGAACCTCAGTTTCTCTAGGTAAGAACTAGAAATAATGGTCCCATAACAATTTAGGGGGATGAGTCACATAAAATGATATACATATATAGAATACTGTCACAGAAATGTACTCAGATTTGTATATAATAGCCTTTGGCAGAGGTGGGGATCGAGGAGGGTTGAGGCAAACAAAATATCCATTCAAATTTATCCAATCCACAAACATTTTGTCATCCCATAAATAACTACAAGCAATACAACAGGTAGCTGTGGCATACAGCTGGAGCATACAGCATAGATGAGACAGGCTGTGAGTTCTAGGTCATTTCCAGGACTTGGCTCTGATGCCAGCCTGTTCTCTCCCACTGCATTAAGTACACCTCGGGTGAGTTGGGTATGAAAATAGTATTGATATAACTTTAATTCTATTTAAACTAAGTATTAGATTACTATATGCTATTTTGTTTTGTTATCCATGAAATCTTTTTTTTTTTTATTTTTCTTGAAAGTAAAATTAAACCAATATTTTTCTGTGAATTCTGTAGGCTTTCTAAAATACCACCCCAGAGAACAAAGTTTTTGCTGAGGAATCCTGACTTCTGGATTTAAGCCTCTGTGAAGGCACATACTTTGTTTGGAAAATTAGTTCCTAGGGAATATGCAGTGGACATCTGTTGATTTATTTTACTTAACATCTATTTTTTTTTTTCTTCTTCTCTTAGGAGCAACTCCCATATCAACTCTTTCAGCAAAACACACACACACACACACACACACACACACACACACACACACACACTTTTCTTAAGGGGAACTGCTTCTCTCTATTATATTCCATATCATTCTAGTAGAGCTTTTAATCACAGTATCATACTCATAGGCTATAGTGAATGGTCTCAAGGATTGGGCTCATGACATAAGCCAAGCTGTTCTCTCTCAAGTTGACATATGCTGAATTGGAAAAAGAAGAGTCTTCTTTTTCTGAACTGTATGAATGCAAAGGTGGAAGTGACCATAACCGTTTTCTTCCCTCCTATCTCTTCATATAGAATTAAGGAACCTACATAGTAGAGTTATGGAGACAGAGAAAAAGAGCACATTATTTCCCTTTATCCTGGTTCTTCTGAGTTATATGAATTAATACATTACTTTTTTTGGTCTCATTTGGGTTCCTGCCACTTTAAAGTAAAAAAACAAAAAGGAGAGTAGGGAGATTTGAATTCCAATGACAGGTTTTTGTAATTTTGCTAGATAATAATGGTATTTTAATGACTTTTCACAGTAGTTTCCTGACTAACACACAGTCACAACAGTAATAACATTCACAAAATACATTAGATCCAAATTTAAAACTGTAACAAAATTAAACCCATGAATTAGCTCTGAACATAACAAAATGGAAGAGTTAACCACTATTCTTCTTTATCTACACAGTTCATGTATTTTATTTCCACAAAGCCAATGAATGCTCAGTGACTCCTAGGGAATCTCAGACAGTTTCTACCACTCTGAAAACATTGGAATAAAATTGGGTAAAATTTGAACAGATAGATCTTAACCTCTGTTTGCATCATTACTCAAGAAGTGCATGTTTGAGTAGAGCATTTTAATATATGCTCCGAGATGTGGGGTTAAAAGGTATCAAGGAATTTTGGACCCATTCTAGCTGGAAATCCTTTGAATAAGACATCTAGACTTAATCAGGCATGCCTGCCGGAAGTCACCTGAGAAGAATCTTTCTTAGAAGTGTGTGCAACTCAGGTCCCACTCTAGACCTTCCCAACCCTTAGGGATTGCATCTAGGATTGTGTACTTTGATAACATTCCCGCTGTAATTCTGATGTTCATCCCTAATTAAGAACATCTTCCAAATATAAATTAAATTTCTCTGTCCATGTGCTTCAGTAAGCAATCTATGCTCTGAAGCTAGGGATCCTTTGCAATCAATAATAGGTAATATGGGTTTGGCACCAGGAAACACTCAATAAATTTTCATGTCATAAATAAATTCAACTGATTTGAGTTCTTCGTTAATTTCGCTAGCAGAAAATAAAACATCTAAATTCCCAAAGTCTGACAATTTTTTCTCTGTAAAATAAAAATAACTGCTCCTAAGATACTATGTCTTTTTTTTCCAACCACTCGTTTTATTAAGAAAACATGCTAAAATCTAAAAATCGACATACTCCATTCAACAGACCTGTGCCCTTTGCCTACCATGGGTGACACACTGCGTAAGAAACTGGTGCAGCAGGGCACGGGGTGAGACAAGGATGAGGCCAGAGCTCCGCCTTTAGTAACCATACAATCTTGCATTTGTTGTCATTGCTGATCTCTTATGTAAGCAGATCTGACCTGACCAGAAAATGCATAGTTCTTTTTTTTTTGAGACAGAATTTCGCTTTGTTGCCCAGGTTAGAGTGAGTCACGTGGCATCAGCATAGCTCACAGCAACCTCAAACTCCTGGGCTCAAGCAATCCTGCTGCCTCAGCCTCCCAAGTAGCTGGCACTACAGGCATGCGCCACCATGCCCCGCTAATTTTTTCTATGTATATATATATTAGTTGGCCAATTAATTTCTTTCTATTTGTAGTAAAGACAGGGTCTTGCTCTTGCTCAGGCTGGTTTTGAACTCCTGACCTCGAGCAATCTGCCTGCCTCGGCCTCTCAGAGAGCTAGGATGACAGGCGTGAGCCACCGCACCCGGCCCCATAGTTCTTAATCATGGCCTTAGTCCTTAGATGGCAGAGAGTGATGATGGAATCATGCTGAAAAAAGTGCAAAGTGTACCTAAAATGTGAGAAGCAAGTGCTATATATTTAGAATAAGTGGGACCAGAAAGGCACAGCCACAAATCTGAGAACATATAGGAATACCATTTAAAAAATACATATATATAACTATTAATATGTTGGAGGTTAATTTGTTTCATTTGTGGATAAAAATAAAACTGTTCTAATTACACAAACTACACAAGTACATTTTTTTTAACTTGAGAACAAAAGCAGAATAGTAAGCAGCTGGGTGTTCTGTTTCCCAGCATCCATTTCCCTTTCACCAATCTCATTTTCTTTTAGAAAAACACCATTCTCTCACTCTCAGTGTCTTTGTGTTAGAGATAACATCACTTTACTGTTCCAAAGATGAACACTTGGTGATAAACCTGGAAATTGAAATGATCTACTCTTGAACACAAGGACTAGTTTTCAAATGAGTATGTGGCCCAAATCATCTCAGTAAGAATCAGTCCCATCCTTTGCTGGTACTGTTGGTAAAAATATATTTACATTATTCACTGGTCTAAGTCTGGAGCTGCTTGTGATCTGTTTGTCACCACAGTGAAGTCTGCTTAAAAAGAATGAAGGCCATACAGAGAAAAATGTAAGCAACTATTAGAGAGGAGAGATGGAAAGAGAGAGAGAGAGAGAAAGAGAGAGAGAGAGAGATAGAGAGAGAGAATAGAAAGGTAAGTATTCCACCTAATCAGAGATTAATCAAAATACTACAAGTCAAATGTCTTGTAGGGAATGGTGGGGGGGGGGGGACTTTGTGGTTTAAGCTTGCTTTACCAGAGGGACCAAGAAAGGATGACTTTATCATTCAATTTGAGAAATTTTTGAGAGCCAAATAGAACACTAGTAATAATGACATGAGGACAACAGCATAAATCAGAACTATCCCAGGGAAATCAAGACATATTTAGTATACTTAAAAGGAGTAAAATTGGAGAGTGAAAAACAAAAACAAAAACTTTTTTTAGTCCACAAGTGATAAGTTAAAATCTTTTATCTCTCTTTAATGATATTTGGCATATTACTTTACCACTCAGAATTTATCGTTTGTTTTTTGTTTTGTTTTGTTTTTAAAAATGGGTTGAATCTTTTATCTCAATAGTTGTTTTGAAATTCATGTTAGAATGGGCATATATACAGTTAAAAACTACCAAGTTTTCATTTTTGTTTTATTGAAATTCAATTTTCACAGAAGGAAGAGAAAGAGCTGTATGCTGCAGTAAGACAGAAAAGAAGGTCAAAAGGATGAAAAGTGAGCAAGGATATCTGTGTACACCTAGCATTGAGTTCATTTATTGCCTGGGGGGGTTGCGGGAGGAAGGGTCACCTGAGGATTTTCTTGAAGGCTGAGGGCACCACCTGGAGGTAACATGGGTGCATTATCATGTATTGGAACAGCTGCTGAGTTTTTGTAATAAGAACAATTTTGTCAGCATTCCCATAAAGCGAATTGATCATCAGGGATCTGGCAAGCTGCCCAGCTTATTACCCAGAGTAAACTCTGGCCCTACTCTGATCCATTTAAATATTATGTCACCTTCTAAAAAATTCTTGCACATAAATCTTCAAGGATTTTTACTTCTACTTAACACATTAGAAACAGCCTGTTGTGGACAGGGATTCAGAGATCTTAAACATTAGTCCCAGGTTAATGACCATGAAGCTGTGTGATCTTGAGTAAATCCCCTTATTTCTGAAATGTTTTTCCCTAAATTGAGGAATCAGTATGTTGTAGCAGAGCTGTGAGGAGCTATTACTCAGCAGTCAAATATGAATTCAAAGTGTGCAGCCACCATAAACCCATGGAAAATTATCTACCCTACTAAATCTTTGTTTTCTAATTTGCAAGATGAGGAGAACATTAGTAACTATCTCAAAAAAATTAATGGAAGAGTAACATGAGATGCTGCACTTAACGCACTTATCATAGAGCCTGTTTTATGCTAAGAACTCAGAGCTTTTTTTTTTAATTCTCATGACTCCTCCAAGAGACAATATTGTAATGTTAAACCTAGTTGTAAAAAAAAGTAACTTTAAAGCTAAATCAAGTGGGATTTATCATTTATAGAGAGATTGTATTTTCCAAAGATTGCTGCGTATGTCCTGTCCTAAATGTTCATGAAATACAATATTAACGGGCCTCCATTGGTAGTTAAGGGTCTAGGTTTTCTCACTTTTGTAACTGTGTAGACCAATATAGCACAGAAGAAATACATGACTTCTTGGCATAGACCTGAAAAGGCAATATACCTCCACGTGGCCCTCTCAGAACAAGCTCTATGGGGAGCCCTGAGCCCACTTGTAAAAAGTCTGGCTCCCTGCATCTTCGGTGCTAGAGATACCATATGGAGAAACTACATAAAGACAGAACTGTCTAAGGAGCCCCAGTTTTTCCAGTCTCCAGCTATTGAGTTGTCCCAGCATCAACTGTCAGACATGTTTTGAGTGAGCTTTCAAGTGACCTTCACCTCTGCTTTAGAATCACCCATTTGACACTCCGTGAAGCAGAGACAAGCTGTACCCATCAAGGACTTCCCAAGGTACAGATTCATTAGAAAATTAAATTATTGGTATTTTAAGCCACTGATATTTGAAGTGGTTTATTGTGAAGCCATAGTAACTAGAATGTCTAGTGTTTAAAACGCATTATTTCTAGGGCCATTGACCCAACAGGAAACAAATTCAGCCTCCTAAATCTAGAATTCCAACTCATTTTTCTTCACTTGTTGCTTTACTAAGTATTACAGGTATGCAGGTAGACTCTATGACTCCACACCCTTCTGGACAAACATCTAGTTTTAGAACAACCCCAATTAAGCATATGAACTCAATAAAACATCCAAAGAGTGGTCTACCTGCTTCTAAATCTTCTCTATGTCTTTATACCATGAAAATTAGGTTCAACAATAGAAATGAGTTTAGCACCATGTTAATTTTAAATTCAAAATATCCAAATGTACCTTTAGTTTTTTCCTATATGGTTCTTTAGGCAAATGTTGTTTTCTCAAAGATCCCAAACTATTTTTTTTTTCCAAATGCAACTCTTGTTCTTATTTGCTAGAATAAATACAATTTTCATGGAACAGTAAAATCAATTTTATCAGGAGCTATCATTTCTAATATAATTTGACTATTGGGTTGTTTTATATCTATTATTAATATTGAAAATTATTTAAAATCCAGTGCAAATTTTTACCTAACTCCCTTGGCTCAAAGAATAAAAAGACAAAATTCAGTTAATTGGATGTTTTGTTCTTGTGGTTTTCATCCACTAGCTTTATCAAATCAACGTTGCTTGCATGTTGTACATGCAAAATACTAGCGCTCTGCATGCATGATCTTCCCTAGCATATAGATCTTTATACCATCTTTATACCAGATGTAAAAGAGAGGAAATGTGCCATTCCACAATTCAGCCCATAGTGTTGTGTCATGAAACGTTTCAGTCCAGCCATGCATACTTTCTGATTGCACAAGAGAATGAGTATTGTAGGCATGTGATAAGAATAGTTTAAATAGGAAAATTTTTCACACCCTATAATAATCTCACCCTATAATAATCTCACTAATGTTTAGTGAAATTTTCATCAGGAGATTTATCTATACTTACAAAGGTGTTTAAATCTGTGCTCACCAAAAGTGAGCAGGGAGTCACTGTGGAAATGTCTTCATTCATAAACATTGATCCTTGAGTGACTACTGAGGTAAACATTGTCTTCAAAAGTTTTTTGATACTTTGAATGAAGCTCTAATTTCAGTGATATCTTCAAACTGCTATTTAGAGACTAGTTCTGCAGGTAGGAAATGCTGTGAAATTATTGCTAAGCCGCTGAGTGATATAAAACACAAATTTGCTATTTTTTTGATTTATAAAAGAATTGATATTATAGTATTCAGACATATTTTTTCAGGTACTGTCTGATGCTGTTGTTGAAAGCACAGTTGTGCCAGACATTTTAAAGAGGCGAGGAAGATTTTATTCATGGCTATTACAATAGAGGATAGAGACAAGAACTCAGTTTGAGTTCAACTTTGCTGAAACAAAGTCCATGAGAGTCTTCAAAAGCTGGGGGGTGGGGTGGGGGGATCATAGGCCATCTGTGTTTGCTAATTGGCCTCATCCAAAGGAAAAGTAAACTGTCTCCTAAATTCATGGCAGTGCACAGTTTTACAAAGTGTGTGTTATGTTTATAAAGTGTATAGAGTTATGTTCCTACCTTACCACAAAGACTGGGAGATAGGTGCACTATCTGCTCTGATGATTACATTTCAATGAGATGACTCCCAAGTCTTGAGAAAGACATTTCTAGGATGTAAAATTGGCAAGAGGCTTTTAAGAAGATTTATATCTTAAAGAGATAGAGAAAGAATTTACCGTAAGTTTTTATTTTTTTTTAAAAGTAAATGCTCTAAGAAAAGGAAGGTCAGGGCCTAGAGTCAGGAGGAATCCTGTCTAAAAGTTCAGTCAAGCTGAGGGAAACATTAAGGTCACTATCAAACTTTCAAAATGCACTTCACTTTTTTCACAGGTCACAGAGTACCTGTCAATTACAGAATCACTGCCTGCACCAAGATGGCAATAAGAAGTTACAATTTCAGCTAAGTCATTCAAAAAATGATGACCACCAAGAGTGCTATTTTTAACAGAAGGTAAAATGAAATTTATATTCTGCCGTTTAGAATAGATTTTTTCCTTGCCTAGCAGTTTATGCTAGAATTTTCTTCAGACATTTATGGGAAATTTTAGTTGTTCATTTCCTATTATTAATATTTTCAGGTACTTATTAATGTACTTATTTGAAATAAGCACATTAATGTAGCCTGTTATTTTAGTGTGTCTTATTTTATTCCAAAAAAGGTAGTCATTTCTCTTGACATTTCATATAGAGCACTGATATGCTTTCATGTATTTTGTCTTGATCATAGTGTATGATATATTAATTCAGCAAAATTCTCGGAATTGTCCATTGCCACACTTAGGAAACCATCATCCCCTTGAGTGAACTGTTTCTGGGGCTGCCTTATGCTGTGGAAATTACAAGGAGGCTTCTGTCTAGGTCCAGTTGCTTGTTGTCCAAAGGTCCAATTATTGAGACAAAGAGGATTGCCAAAGAAGAAAGAACTGTTTAATGCAACAGACATTCTTGCTGGGAGAATGGGAGAACTTGCTTCAAATCCCTCTTTCTAACTAAGGGATCTTACGGGCTTTTAAAGGAGGGGCCACATAACTTGGGGCAGGTCTGTGGAGTCTCTCGTAAGGCTTTGGTCCCCAACCTCCACTGGTCCGTGACCTGTTAGAGACAGGGCTGCCACAGAGCTCTGCCCCTCCACCCCCCACTCTTCTCACCTAACTCCCAACCTCCAACCCCATCCATGGAAACATTGTCTTCCATGAAACTTAGGAGCCGGGTGGGGTGGGGGACGCATAGCAGGAGGTGAACGGCAGGCAAGTGAGTGTATTTACAGCTGCTTCCCATCACTCACATCAAAATTGTCTTCCCTGAAACTGGTCTCTGGTGCCAAAAAGGTTGGTGACTGCTGTCATAAGGGGCTATGTGCTTTGGGGTCAGGTTGTGGGAGATAGTGAATCTTGGCCAGGAAGGCTGCCCAGGGGCCTTCAGAATCTCAGCTCCTTTGTCTTGCAGAAAATCCACCATTTCTGAGAAACAGCTCAAAAGTTCAAGTGATTAGTTAAGGGAGAGAATTATATAGGGGTCATTGAAATTTGTTCAGTGGTGGGCCTGTTACACTCTTTCATCAGTTATCCACATTGCTTATATTGTGCCAAGAGTAATTATGAAACATGTCCTCTAGCCAATGACCTTGGTACAGAAATAACCCCTTGACAGTGACTGTCTACATTAGCAGCAGCAAGAAGGTGACTTATTCCATTTCAACAATGAAAGGGACTTTATAACAGGTCACATTTTCTCCCAGATGTACTGAGTAAGGGTACTGAAAGAAAACACTTATTAAGAGAAAATAAAGCATGAGAGATACAGCTTCACACACAAAAGGAATAATGTGACAGTTCAGTTCTTTTCACCCCTGTACTCAGATTGTATTATTATCACTCCCAAGCAAAGAAGGAGGCCCTCACTGTTCAATTTCTAACTACAATAATGTGATGCATAAGCCCCTCCAGGAACTTGCCTGACTACATTGACAAAGCTACATTTTCTTGTGACTCACCACACTTCAACACTCTTTTGTAGTTTGGGTTCCTCAGAAAGAGACCCTGAAACAGAGATTTGCAGGTGAAGTTTACTGGGGATGGATCTCAGAAGCAAAAAATCTATAAAGAAGTGAGGGAGCCAGGATTGAGGGGAAGGAGGAGTTGAACTACTGTGCTATATTTGCAGCAGAGACCTTGGCTGAACCTAGGGAAATTCTGAGCCTGGATGGCCTTCAGAGGTGCCCTAGGTTGAGGCAAGGGGACCTGGGCTTTTGTGCTCCCATATCATTCAATCATTGAATGTTGACCACCATGCGAGGTGGTAGGATCACTTTGACCAAAATAGCTGGACTCCCATCAGGACTATGAGTCATGAGTGAGCACCAGCTACCACTCTCAGCTCTCATAGGAATGCAAGTTTCGGTACTGAAAGGAGATCTGGGTGACACAGCTCAGTAACCACTTTAGTCCATGCTTTGTGCTGCTTTGATTGACTTGCTTGATATAATAAATTCATTCAAACTAGGAACACTTTCACTAGAATTCTGCTTGTTTTTATACTGAAAAAACTTGCAACTGGAAGGTCAGTGGAGTAAAGCCCCAGCAGCTGAAAATGATATTCATCATCTCTCTCCTCTAGTACCCATTCTAGATCCCCTTCACCCTCCACTAGCACTTCTGCTCATATAAGGGCTTACCCCTGATCTCCAAAGTCCTTATCTTCAAAAGAATTTATGGGAGTGCCAAGAGATACCATACTAGATCATCTAGGTGCCAACTATCCACGTATTTCCTTTTCTGAGAACTCATCATTGCTTCCCTACTCACTAACGTTTCTGGCTAGAATGGAACCATTCATTCATATCTCTTCTATCATGGTACCAGTGATCCTCATTAACCTCCATGTATGCCTACCTGAGTCTCCAGCTAGATGATATAGTTTATTATCTAAATTATATTTTTTAATATGAAGGTTTAGCTCAGTGCTTGGCATAGAACTAATATGGTTGGCATACTCTGAAGAGGCTCCTATGAGCCTGTCTCTTAGTACTCACATCTGTGTGCAGTCTTCTCACATGTGGGGGAGTCCTGTGATCTGCTTCTAACAAATAAAACATGGCAAGTTTGATGAGATATCACTGCTGGGATTACATTATGTTATATAGAAAAGGAGAAAAGATTTTAAACATATAATTAATGTTGACTTGTAAAATAATTTTCAAATTTATTTTTAATTTTTGTGGATACGCAATAGTTGTGCATATTATGGGGTACCTGTGATATATTGTTACAGCATAAAATGTGTAATGATCAACTCTGAATAATTGGGATATCCATCACAACAAACATTTATCATTTCTTTGTGTTGGAAACATTCCAAACCTTTTCTTCTAGCTAATTTGAAATATAAAATATTATCATTAATTATAGTCACCCTACTGTTCTACCAAACACTAGATCTTATTCTGTCTATATAATTGTATTTATGTACCCATTAAGCAATTCTTTTCATCTCCACCTTCCCTCTGCTTTTCCATTCTCTGCTAACCACCATTCTACTCTTTACTTCCAAGACATCAATTTTTTTTTTCACTTTCACATATAAGTGAGAACATATGAGCTTTGTCTTTCTGTGCCTGGCTTATTTCACTTATCATAATGTCCTTCAGTCCAACCATGTTGTTGCAAATTATATGATTTCATTCTTTTTTATGGCTGGATAGTATCCCACTGTGTATGTATATCATATTTTCTTTATCTATTCATCTGTTGATGGACACTTAGGTTGATTTGATATCTTGGCTGTTGTGAGTAGTGCTGTAATCAACATGGTAGTGCAGGTATCTCTTCGATATACTTATTTTCTTTCTTTTGGATATATACACAACAGTGGGATTGATAGATCATATGGTAGTTCTATTTTTAGTTTTTTAAGTAACCTCCATACTGTTTTCCATAGTAGCTGTACTAATTTATATTCCCACTAACAGTGTATAAGCATCATTTTCCTTTCTCCATATCCTCATGAGCATTTGTTATCTTTTGTCTTTGGATAATAGCCATTTAACTGGAGGGAGATGATATCTCATTGTGGTTTTGATTTGCATTTCCCTGATGACTATTGATGTTAGCATTTTTTCATATACTTGTTGACTTTTAAGCAGTTGACTTTAAATTAATCAAAAGGTAGATTTTCCCGGGGGGCGAATTTTTCCCCTTCCTGGGGGAAAGATTTTCCTGTTCAGACCAGTCTATTAAAAAGAAGGCCTAGACCTTTCCTGAAGTTAAAGAAAAAAGAGAATTTTTTCTCTTTATTAGTGGCTTTGAAGAAGCAAGCTGCCATGAATTTTATAGCCATGGGAAATGCCAGCAACCCGAAAGAATGTAGAAATAGATGCTTCACTTGTAGAGCATCCAGCTAAAAACTCAGCCTGGCTAGCACCTTGATTTTAGGCTTATAAGTCTCTGAGCAGAGAATCTAAGCTGGGCCCAAACTCTTCACCCCTGGAAACTGTGAGATAATAAATATGTTTTTATTAAGCCACCAAGTTTGTAATAATTTTTTATGCAGCAATAGAAAAACCAATACAACTGGCATCAGTATGTGAAGGATAAATACATAAAATTTAGATGCCATAAATTTATTACCATGGATAGTATGCTTTTCAATATAAATATTTTAAGACATTGACATATCCATAAAACGTGAAAGATGGTACAATTTATCCTGTTCAAAATTTTCCTCCCATATATAAAGCAATTGATGCCAAGAAAATTTAGGCAAATTATCTATGAACAAATTATTGATACAATTAGGATTCAAGCACACATCCATTAATGATTATTTCCACTCTGCTTGTAACCTCATGTTCCTTCTCTATGTGGGCATGTACTTGAATTATCTTTAAAATAGTAAGGCCACTAAAATTATTTTATTGTCTGGTTTTTAGAGGTAAGCTTTCCACTACTCTGATATCCATTAGACAGTCAACTCTTCTGAGTGCTCACCGAGTGCAAGGCACTGAATGAATTCCACTAAAATAAAAAAGAATATCTAAATCATGGTCTCTAACTTCAGAAAGTTGTAATTTATCTGGTATTGGATAAGAATTCTGCCTCATGATTTATATTCTATTGTCTTTTTTTCTGGGCACCACTAAAGAGATTGTGAACGATGATTTGGTATATCTTGAGGGAACAGGTCATGAAAACTCTAGGTCATTCTCGGTATATTAAAAGGCATCCTATTTGTTATTGTGTCTATTGTTGATCTCCTCCACCTCATCCCATAAAAAAGCTGGTAGAAAAGTAGTTTCCTTCCTTAAACAAATAGAAACATCTGACAAAGATCACTATTTTCTGGGTTTTTCTCTGTCTTTTCTATTATTTTCTTTTCATATATTTAAAGCTAGATTCCAAAATCTTTAGTCATATATCAGGTGTCTAACGTGTCACATTCCAGCTTACATTTTGG